GACTAGTGAAACAACGACTTTCAATAAAGTAAACCGGCCATCATTTTCTGAGCTTTCAAGAGGATCATGTTGCCATTTTCCACGAAAATTGATTCGGATTGTATTTTTTGCGTTTAAACACTATATTGTTTCAGTCAGATATAATTTGTGTTGTTCAACGCTTTCTCATGACCACACTATTTATTTTAATCATATTAAATTCAATTTAGACAGCTACCCTCTAATTTCAATAGGCTTGATTGTGTCACAAGGGCATTACATTTCAACAGGGAACATCAAACACTATATTTAATGCTCTTAGAGCAGTAGAGTGGTGACAGCGCGAAAAATTCATCCGAATTAAAGTCATTTCATTTGGTTGAAAACACAACACACTGGCTTAAAGAGGTACATTTTCAAAAGTGCCAGTGTTATGAACTCAAATTTGGCTCAATGTTTGGTCGTGATGTCATCATGAGGAAGTCCACATTAAATTGCGAAAGGGAACATCAAACACTATATTTAAAAACAATTCAAGCAGTAGAGTGGTGCGAAAAAAGACGTTTTCCGTGGGCACACTTTTAATTTTGCCGACTAAAATGTTAACTTATTTCAAAAGAGTTCACAACAACCGTTAATAAGGATTTTACCATTGTACGACACAGGCCATAGTCCTCAGGGCGAACTTTACTTTCAATTTGTTTCCAATAGTACTATAGCAGCGAGGGCGTACCGCTTGACTAGAAGAGAACGAGGATAGACTTGACGCCTTTAATTGTGAAGAGCGCCACCATTTGTTAAACATGCCTGTGGTGGACAGCACGTGTTATCTGTATGCTGGAGTTAACGTAAGGCACAACGAAATCCTACGTTTCCCCGATTTCTTCATACAGGGTTGCCAAATTTCTTCGTTGACGAACTTCAACTTCATTCGTAAAAATGCAGGTACTATTAGTTACTTTAATTATGCTTTTTGTTGAACCATTGTGAACAATTTCAGTGTCTTTAAATTGAGTCCGAATACAACTTTGAAAACGGTGGCGTCCGGAAATTGGGCACAAAATCGGCTCAGTAAATGTGGCGAATGTTGGACAACTCGTACCCGAGACAACTCGTACCCGAGACAACTCGTACCCAGGACCATTCGTACCCGGGACAACTCGTACCCGGGACAACTCGTACCCGGGACAACTCGTACCCGAGACAACTCGTACCCGTCTGAAAATAAAACACTGTGCAGCGTTCTCGTATCTGTGCCTTACTTGTGCCGACTGTTATCATACTTATTTTCAACCAATTATTATTCAATTATTTTATTTCCGTTTTTTCATTTTTAAATAGAGAAGAAGTTTTTCATTTAAATAGGTCTCTCTGTTGTTGGCCTGAAGATTTTTTTTTTTTTTTAATACTGTTTTATTTTCATTCCGTTTCAGAAACTCTGATGCAATCTCTTTTTGGGATGCAATACTTATTTAGTAATGCAATAACTGAAGATCAAATAAGTTACGAGCAAACTCCGCCCTAGTAGCTGGCGTTTATATAGCCCTGCAAACGGGAACACAATGACGCGTGAAACATGGCATCTCACGCTACTCACTAAGCTAACAATTCTAATTAAGTGACTTTTGAATTATTTCACATAATTATGCAAAAGACTGACACGCTACTGGGATTGTTGATGGTTATCAAAATTAATGTCATAAAAAGTGTAGAAGGTGACATATGTAGCGTTTTTATAATTTTAATGAATCGGTCCACTTATTTTAGAAATAAGTTTTCGCAATAAATGAAGATCAAATAAGTTACGAAGCTCATGATTGCTATAGCTCCTTCCGCGAATTCGGCGAACTCTGCGATCATCGGCCAGCTGCCAGAATCTCTCCAGAACAATCTCTTGCTTGTCACCACTGGCAATTCCCCAAAACTCAACGGCTTTTGGTTTTCCACATCTTCGGATTTGTCAATTACATCCAACTAAAAAGGAACAGAAAAGTAAATGGTAAGAAAAGTACAAGGTACGAGTCGTCCCGGGTACGAGTTGTCCAGGGTACGAGTTGTCCCGGGTACGAGTCGTCTCGGGTACGAGTTGTCCCGGGTCACAAATTTGGGGTACGAGTCGTCCCGGGTACGAGTTGTCCGGGTACGAGTTGTCCCGATACCAATGTGGCGTGCTTGAATAAAACAAAACTAAAAAAACTCCAAAGTCAATGTCTCAGAATCTTTGGTTGATAAATTCTGATAAACCATCATTATCTTTACTTACACAATACTTCAAAGTTTGTTAGTCCGAGTAACTTGGACCCAACTTATCGCCTTTTTTAACATTTTGGACATGGTCTGGCGATAGTGGGGTCCAAGCTAATGCCGCGACCTGGACAACATCATCCTGTCACTGTGCCAAACCAACATTTTCCAACAAAAAACATCAGATTTCACCTTCAAAACGGCCTCCAAATTACTAGATATGCCACCTGAAGTACAAGTAGACATCGATGATTAAGATGGTTGTACTTACACATGTACATGTAAGTTTACTTACGATCCGGAAGAAAAGTGAAATTTTCCGTTCAATTCTGAAGACCCCCTCTGCCTAGGTTGTCGTTGTTGTGCTCATGTTCAAAACTGCATGATATGCTGTGTGTACGCATTCCCAATTGGGTAATGGTGTCTGACCTCGACCTCATGCAAAGGTCGTGACGGCGCGCTTGCGCACAATGCACGGCAGATTCCCCTGCGCCGCGCCGACGACTGTTTCCTGATGAAGAGTGCTGTGTAAGTTCGCGGTACGCCTAGGAGTCGCGCTGGCTAGGCGCATGACTGGCTAGCCAGCGAACTTACACAGCACTCTTCATCAGGAAACAGTCGTCGGCGCGGCGCAGGAGAATCTGCCGTGCATGCAGTGCATTGTGCGCAAGCGCGCCGTCACGACCTTTGCATGAGGTCGAGGTCACTTTTCTTCCGGATCGTAAGTAAACTTTAGTACAACCATCTTAATCATCGATGTCTACTTGTACTTCAGGTGGCATATCTAGTAATTTGGAGGCCGTTTTGAAGGTGAAATCTGATGTTTTTTGTTGGAAAATGTTGGTTTGGGACAGTGACAGGATGATGTTGTCCAGGTTGCGGCATTAGCTTGGACCCCACTATCGCCAGACCATGTCCAAAATGTTTAAAAAGGCGATAAGTTGGGTCCAAGTTACTCGGACTAGACCCAACTTATCGCCTTTTTAACATGGTCTGGCACGTCTGGCATGTTTGGTGGGGTCCAAGCTAATGCTGTATGCCCAGCAACACAATTCTGTCACTGACCCCAAAAACCCAACATAGCCCAATAAAAACACAAGATTTTACCTCAAAACGGCCTCCAAATTACTAGATACACCACCTGAGGTACAAGTAGACATCGATAATTAAGATGCTTGTAGTTGTACTGAAGTTTACTTACAATCCGGGTGAAAAGTGAAAATTCCCATTCAATTCCGAGAGCTCCCCTCAAGATCAATTTTCTACTCATCATAATCGATGCATGGCGCGCGCTCGGTAACGGAATTGTACTCGGGATACAGGAACCATTGAATGTACGTGGGCATGAAGATGACATCGCGTCATTCAAACATTAACACAAATCGGAAAATTAACGTGTTCACGATCGTGAGGGGAGCTCTTGGAATTGAACGGAAAATTTCACTTTTCATCTGGATCGTAAGTAAACTTCAGTACAACCATCTTAATTATCGATGTCTACTTGTACCTCAGGTGGCGTATTTAGTAATTTGGAGGCCATTTTGAGGGTGAAATCTGATGTTTTTGTTGGGCAATGTTGTTTTTTGGGGGGTCAGTGACAGAATTGTGTTGCTCTGCATAAACCATTAGCTTGGACCCCACTATCGCTAGACAATGCACGTATGTAAAGGCGATAAGTTGGGTCCAAGTTACTTGGACTAAAACTTTGTCAGAAAATTATTTTTTTATGGCAGTGGATATTTTGCCGGAGACAGCCAAACGTTAGTTTGCGGAATATGCACTGAACATGTGCAGTTATAGGCCTACTGTTTTTTGGTACTTAAACATTTTCTGGTGACAAATTTTAGTCTGGCTCCATGCCAATATTATCGTTGTAACTTCGTATTCACAAGATAGGAATCCGACCAATATTATCGTTGTAACTTCGTATTCACAAAATAGGAATCAGACCATTTTATAATATCAGACTTTATTTCACTTTAAAAAAAAATCCTCCAGAGCCACAAAGCTGAAAAAGAAAATGTAATACTCTGCAATAAAATGTTTGAGACATGTTAAAATAACAAAAGAAGGATATTCTTATTTATTTGGGGCCATCCCCCCCCCCCCAAAAAAAAAACCCTGAGAAATGTGGCAGGGATCGGGATCGAATCCAGGTCATCCCTCTCACAAGGGCCGTTGCTTAACCACTACACCAAGTGTGCCACACAACTTTTGGTTGGAATTTAATACATTTCATAATTCAGCCCTATCTAAAGAGTACTGCGCCCTTTGTTGATATGATGATTGCCGTCGGCAAACCTTTAGTAAACGTTAGTTCGCCGGCATTACCTCCGGCAAAATATCCACTATCTTTTTTATGCCCCGCGGCGAAGCCGAAGGGGCATACTGTTTTCCGCCTTGTCCTTCCCTGGGTGGGTGGGTGGGTGGGTGAGTGAGTTTGTCTTACATACGCAGTGTGGACTTCCGAACAAAAGACGTCCACATAATGTAGGTAGCACCGACGTTGTGTGGACTTACCCCACGTCCACACAGTGTTTCCCCATTTCTGGAAAACAGGTTTAGAGGCATTTGGGGTTAGGTTTATCTGTAGCAGAATGAAGAGAAACACTAAAGGGAATCATAGAAAAAAATTGGGTTGAAAGAGTTTTCACAGTTTGAGAAAAATGAGTTTTTTCACTGGTTTTTCTTAACTACACGAAAGCAATGGAAAGTCCACACTAGTCATGTGAAACAAGTATGTGTGTGTGGGTGTGTGTGTGGGTGGTTGGGTGCGTGTGTAACAGCCTTCAACTGTGGACCCTCACCGGAATTCACACCGTCTACCGTGGACGCATCGCTATCGTGGACGTCCACGGTTGTAAATGATGGATTTTTGGCAAATATACAGTCACAAGAGGGCGCTCTATCAATCTCTTGAATATCCGGCCGTCGTCCACGATTTGATAGTACTGACCGGAATTTATTTGTGTAACAATACACCCCGTATCCTCCGTGTGACAAATTTGTATACGGGGAATGAAGCACAATTCAAGCACGCCCTCTCGTGGCAGCGAATTGCCACTAAGCGCGCGTAAACTGCATGGCTGCCATGGAACGGACCACCGCCGTCCGCGTTTGGTCGACTGAATTCTGATGGAAAACATCGAAAACATCGGTGTGGCATCCTAGTTTTCATTTTTTCCAGGTATGAAACTATCCATTTTGTGTTTATGTAATTGCAAACCATTTTTTGATAATGACCTGTACCATCGAGACAATTTAATAACCTCTGCCAGACAATGACATGTTAAACCGAATGTAAAAAACGCTCATGTTGTCCGTTCACGCCATAACGTTAACGTTGCACATGTACATGTACATCATACATGTAGGCCTACTACTTGTACCATGCCTCCATGTTTATACTTAGCACGTGCTTATCTGCTGTCTCCTTTCTATTTCTGTTAAAACTAGTTTGAAATGGCTGACACTGTAATGTATTGTTATCCCAACTATCGGGAGAAGATACTCGCGCTTGAAAAATCCATACGGAAATTAGTTATTGCTGTTATTGTCCTTTTTATTTTGGTGGCGTTTCTTATTGTGTTTACAATTCTGGCCGCATTCATGTAAAATTGTAAACGTCAGTCATTCAGTGATCCTGACAGTAATTGCGGTGAGTTTTCAGTGAATTCTTTCTGTTCATATTATTACTCTTGAGCCTTAGTCCGAGTAACTTGGACCCAACTTATCGCCTTTTTTTAACATTTGGACATGGTCTGGCGATAGTACCGAGCGCACGCGATGCATCGATTATGATAATGAGTAGACTGGATCACGTTTGTAAACACATGTGCATTTCAAACGATAATAGGGGGTCAGGAACTAGCACAGCTTTTATGGCGGATACCAGTTCAAGCTGGTTCCCGATTCCCTTTTACAGTTCGAAATGCACATGTATGTGTTTACAAACGTGACTCATTATCATAATCGATGCAAATTGCTTGTCGAGCGAGGGCGCGAGTTGCAAATGCGACGGCTGTTTCCTGTGCCGTAGATCCTGAATAGAGATCAGTGCACGTGGCCCCCAGACGATAAATGCATGGTACAGGAAACAGCCGTCGCATTTGCAACTCGGGCCCTCGCGCGCTCAACAAGCAATTTGCATAAACGAGACGTCACAGCTTGAGGTCATCTCTTGTCACATTCAAAATGGCTGCCATCACCGGACTTTTCACGAGTGCATATGGGCTCCAGAAAGATTCAAGAATATCTCGGAAAACTGAACATCATTACACCTAAGCATCCCAGAAGTGATAGATGGGACATCGTAGAATACAACCATATGTAAGAAATTCCCTGCAAATTTTATGAAAACGTCCTCAGTAGTGCGCGGACCACGGTGTGTGGCCTTGGGTTCAGCGCAGCATACCGACGGCCACACTAGTGGGGCTACCCCAAGACCTATGCCCAGTTCTTCTTGACATACTCGCGTTCAAATCGCTAACAAGTATAAGGGTTGAATCGATCCCGATGGTGCCAAAAATGATGAAAACGGTCCCCGTTCCGATCCGTACCGAAGCAACAGTTTGAGTTTTAACAAACGAATCGTTGTTTACATGTGCCGTCAGAATAGTCGGAGTCTGACGCCGCCCTCGATATGCACTGCAGACTGTGGTTCCCAGACTGTGGTTCCCAGACCAAAAGACACTGACTATTCTGACGTCCCGTGTAAACAACGATTCGTTCGTTAAAACTCAAGCTGTAGCTTCGTTATGGAACGGGGACCGTTTTAAGTAATTACTGCAACCTGACTATTTTTTAATGATAATGTATAACTATAATTTGCTAACTTTTGAGATTTGACTAAGCACTTATGATTACGACTTTGTTTATCCAAGGCTTACTTCATCATGTACATGTAGGGTTCTCCCCGTGCACAAGCTAGCATATCAGACCGATGCGCATGATTTGTTGGCATGCAAATTTAGGCTAAAATGCACAAATTTGGGGCCGGAAAAAAGAAAAGTCAAGAATTTCTTTAAAATCATGCATTAAAACAAATTAAAATGCTCTGGATTGCAAAAGAGCTTTGAAATCCAAACATAAACATCAAGTAAAGAATATCAGATGCTGTTGTTTAAATTAAGTGTGCTTCACCTTAACTTGCAAAGTTTGGGTTTAGAATGTTCCACAGGTTTGCAAAGTTCTGGGGAGAACCCCGACTTAAGGCGTTGATTCCTGCTCCGAAGAAATTTGGTGGTTTAAAACTTACGCTATTCTCTATTACAGAATAATATGCCTTTTCTGAGGAAAAGAATATCGCCGCTCGCTGAAGCAAAACAGTTCTGTGGTTCAGGTACTGATAAAAGGAGTTTCCAACAACGATACATCAATGACATTATAGGTAAGCTAAAGAGAGTCACTACATGTACCTCAGAAAAGATTATATTAAAAAGAAAATCTATTTTGGGCTTGCCGCTACATACTGATGTAGGTTTTGTAGCTGACGGTACGTAAGTATTTTTGATGTGAAATTGCCCAGTAAATAATAATAACAATACATTTCTTCTGACTTGTAATTGTTTTTTCAGGGTATGGGCTTTTCACAACAACCCCATTTCAACAAGGGGATTTCCTATTGGAATATAGGGGACAAGTCAGTCAGGTTGTTGACAACGATGAGGCGAGCAACATGTATGAGTTTATATATCAACACAATGGTGTGGACTACAGGTAAGTGCATTTATGCATGTTGTTCCAGGGTCATTCCATGCCAACTCAACAAATGGTGCACACCATCACCTCTTGGAGTTTTTTCTTTTTTGGTGTACTGAAAGATACTTAGAGAAATGCAAATTCTGAAAATTTGGGGTCTCTACGACTTTTCGTTCTTGCACAACAGCATTTTGAAATTTGAGGTGGGCGGGGCCGGGCCAGGGCAAAAAGTGCGTCGCGTCACGAAATTCAATGTTTAAAGGGCCATATATTTAAAGCTATACCCCCAGACAATTCAAACTTGGTAATCTGGGCTATGTTTTGCTGTAGATTTAAAATATTTAAACAGAAAGAAAGTACAATGTAGCTTGTTTCATTTTTAAGTTGGAGGGGCCCCGTAAGATTTTACATGAAAGTAGTTTTAATTGGGGGCTATTACAGGAAAAACATTTGGTGAAAAAAATATTTTCAATTTTTGACTTACCCCCCCCCCCCCCCCCCCCCCCCCCCCTGAACATTGGTCAAGATGAGTTTTGGGCCATTTTGGGGCCCCTCTAACTTAAAAATGAAACAAGCTACTTTCTTTCTGTTTAAATATTTTAAATCTACTGCAAAACATAGCCCAGATTACCAAGTTTGAAATGTCTGGGGGGTATACAATGTAGTTTAAAATATATGGCCCTTTAAACATTGAAATTCGTGACGCGATGCACTTTTCACCCTTGCCCGGCCCCGCCCACCTCAAATTTCAAAATGCTGTTGCGCAAGAATGAAAAGTCGTAGAGACCCCAAATTTTCAGAATTTGCTTTTCTTCTAAGTATCTTTCAGTACACCAAAAAGAAAAAAATCCAAGAGGTGATGGTGTGCACCATTTGTTGAGTTGGCATGGAATGACCCTCCAGACAATTCTTTGCCATACTCCTGGTGAATTTGCATTTTGTGCTATGTACCATCATATGTGTTTCACTTTACTTATACCCACCATGCAGACATGTAGATTTCAATGTCATTCAGGTTCAGAGTACTGTTATTTTTTATCACTAGTGTAGCTATATCGTTAAAATTGACTTTGGCACGAATTCTCCGTACAGCAGCTTCACCCCTAACTTCACATGACTTTATCATAAGGCCTCACATTCTCTCATGTGGGCAGGTCAATTTTTCAGGTTTTTTGGGGGGCACATTTAATTACAAGGTCTGGAAATTAGTGCTGGGCACTCTTTACTTACAGTTAAGATGTTGTTCAGTATTTGATGACCATTCCCAATTTGTTTAGTTTTCTCCCTTTGTTTATTCCCTTTTAAAAGGTGCCACAAATTTGTTTGATATTGTAGGGAAAAGCCTGGTTTCCATGAATACTGGGAATGTGTAGGAGTCATATTAGTAGCTTTTTCGTGCCAGAACTTTGATAACTTATCTCTACTGAACTGAAAAAGTCAGTTAGCCAGAATGTCGGATTCATTGGTTTAGAATGATTAAATAAAGTATCACTAATGGTCAATCCCCTCCCTCTCCCCAATAAAAACAGAAAATCAAACCATCTTGCACATATGCAGTTCCTCTTAAATAAATGATGATTTCCCTTTCACTGCAAATCAAATTTTAATTTTTTTTCCCTCTAACAGGGTTGATGCATCACATCCAGATTCTTGTCAAGCCCGTTACATCAATGATGAGCCAAAGCAACCGAACTGTAAAATGAAAAAGATTGTGATTGACAATAGCCCGCATCTCTGCCTATTTGCGCTTCATCATATCGATGCCGGCCAAGAGCTTCGGTATGATTACGGACCAGATGATTTTCCATGGCGAGAGGTATGAACCAATTTGTTTTCAACCATTTGGGGGGGGGGGGGGTGTTAGTCAATGCAGATCACTGAAGCAGTTTTTCGGCGCGAGGGGTATTGTCATCGCCTAGGGCGTCCGTCCATCCGTATGTAAGTGCATTCTGACCATACCACCCTTGTGGGGTGATGTTCCTTTCAGGACACATCACCCCACTTTTTTCACCCCAGAAGGGAATCTTTAGAAAAAGGGATAATGGGAACACAATGCTATCACCCCACAATTCCGTCTGGCTGGAACGTCCGTCTGTCCGTCCGTCCGTCCGGGTAGCTTAGTTTCCGGATGATAACTTGAGTTAGAAATGTTGTTTGGGATTGTAACTTCGGTAGGGGGTTGCCCTTGGGAGTAGACAAGTTGGGATTGGTTTTGAGGTCAAAAAGTCCAAGGTCAAGGTCAGTGTAGTGATTAAAAGGTAAATGGTTTCCGGATGATAACTTCAGTTAGAAATCAGATTTTAATGTCTAACGTAGGTAGGGGGTTGCCCTTGGAAGTAGGCAAGTTGGGATTTGTTTTGGGGTCAAAAGGTCAAAGGTCAAGGTCAGCCTGGTGAGTTAAAGGCAAATGGTTTCAGGATGATAGCTTCAGTTAGAACTCAGATTTTGGTGTCAAACTTTGGTAGGGGATTGCCCTTGGGAGTAGGCAAGTTGGGGTTAGTTTTGGGGTCAAAGGTCAAGGTCAGCCTGGTGAGTTAAAGGTAAATTGTTTCAGGATGATAGCTTCAGTTAGAAATCAGATTTTGGTGTCAAACTTTGGTAGGGGGTTGCCCTTGGGAGTAGGCAAGTTGGGGTTAGTTTTGGGGTCAAAGGTCAAGGTCAGCCTGGTGAGTTAAAGGTAAATGGTTTCTGAATGAAAACTTCAGTTAAAAATGAGATATTGGTGTCTAACTTTGGTAGTGGGTTGCCCTTGGGAGTAGGCAAGTTGGGATTGGTTTTGGGGTCCAAAGGTCAAAGGTCAAGGTCAGTGTGGTAAGTTAAAGGTAAATGGTTTCCGGATGAAAGTTCAGATAGAAATCAGATTTTAATGTCTAACTTAGCTAGGGGCTTGCCCTTGGGTACAGGCAAGTTGGGATTGGTTTTGGGGTGAAAAGGTCAAAGGTCAAGGTCACCGTGGTGAGTTAATGGTTTCTGCATTGTAACTTCAGTTAGATATGATATTTGGGTTTGGAATGTCAGTTTGCGGTAATTTTGGTAATTCAATGGGCTACAATAACAAACTCCAGCTGAGGGGTTTCAATAGCAACGCTGTTATTTTGTTTTATTCTTGTGGCAGTTAAAACAAAGGAGAAAAAAGAAAGAAACTTGATAGATCATGTACACTGGCCCAAGCCCATCCTCTTAATAAGTTCCCCTTTTATTGCTTCAAAGTACATGTTCTTTTGATTATGGAGTAATTAGTACTTTGAAACCTCATGAAAAAATACTAACGAGTTGAATCCAATTAAATACCAAAAGTAACCCTATCATTAGCCTTTAATACTTGGCTAGGTTATTTGAATGTGTACACAAGCCCATTTCACACATTTCAAAATGTTCAAATATATCAATTGTCATGTTTTTCTTCATTCTTTATTTTTTAGGCCAACCATGGTTTGGATTCAAAGAAACTTTGCACTAAGGATAGCTTCACTGCAGATTCAACAAATGGAGAAGACAATGCATCAAGCGCCACTCTGATCCCTTTGAAGTGCAACCAAGGTTTCCAGACTACTCAATTAAATGTCCATGCAGTTGCCAGCAACACCTGCCCAACTCCATCAGATGTTACACTTTGTGATCCTGCTACAAGCTGTATTACAGAATCACCAAGCAGAGCAGACAGTGCTGTAGGCCCAACTTTAGTCCAAAACCAAAGCACAAGTCTTCAGAGCTTGCCTTACTCAGATCATTCCAGTCCCCATGTAGATGCCAGCAACACCTGCCAAACTCCATCAGATGTTACACTTTGTGATCCTGCTACAAGCTGTATTACAGAATCACCAAGCAGAGCAGACAGTGCTGTAGGCCCAACTTTAATCCAAGACCAAAGCACAAGTCTTCAGAGCTTGCCTTACTCAGATCATTCCAGTCCCCATGTAGATGCCAGCAACACCTGCCAAACTCCATCAGATGTTACACTTTGTGATCCTGCTACAAGCTGTATTACAGAATCACCAAGCAGAGCAGACAGTGCTGTAGGCCCAACTTTAATCCAAGACCAAAGCACAAGTCTTCAGAGCTTGCCTTACTCAGATCATTCCAGTCCCCATGTAGATGCCAGCAACACCTGCCAAACTCCATCAGATGTTACACTTTGTGATCCTGCTACAAGCTGTATTACAGAATCACCAAGCAGAGCAGACAGTGCTGTAGGCCCAACTTTAATCCCAGACCAAAGCACAAGTCTTCAGAGCCTGCCTTACTCAGATCATTCCAGTCCCCATGTAGATGCCAGCAACACGTGCCCAACTCCATCAGATGTTACACTTTGTGATCCTGCTACAAGCTGTATTACAGAATCACCAAGCAGAGCAGACAGTGCTGTAGGCCCAACTTTAATCCAAGACCAAAGCACAAGTCTTCAGAGCTTGCCTTACTCAGATCATTCCAGTCCCCATGTAGATGCCAGCAACACCTGCCAAACTCCATCAGATGTTACACTTTGTGATTCTGCTACAAGCTGTATTACAGAATCACCAAGCAGAGCAGACAGTGCTGTAGGCCCAACTTTAATCCAAGACCAAAGCACAAGTCTTCAGAGCTTGCCTTACTCAGATCATTCCATGCCCCATGTAGATGCCAGCAACACCTGCCAAACTCTGTCAGATGTTACACTTTGTGATCCTGCTACAAGCTGTATTACAGAATCACCAAGCAGAGCAGACAGTGCTGTAGGCCCAACTTTATTCCAAGACCAAAGCACAAGTCTTCAGAGCTTGCCTTACTCAGATCATTCCAGTCCCCATGTAGATGCCAGCAACACCTGCCAAACTCCATCAGATGTTACACTTTGTGATTCTGCTACAAGCTGTATTACAGAATCACCAAGCAGAGCAGACAGTGCTGTAGGCCCAACTTTAATCCAAGACCAAAGCACAAGTCTTCAGAGCTTGCCTTACTCAGATCATTCCAGTCCCCATGTAGATGCCAGCAACACCTGCCAAACTCCATCAGATGCTACACTTTGTGATCCTGCTACAAGCTGTATTACAGAATCACCAAGCAGAGCAGACAGTGCTGTAGGCCCATCTATAATCCAAGACCAAATCATATGTTGTCAGAGCTTGCATACATTGGATGATGACTCAAGTCTCAAGGTAAATCCCAGCACCACCTACCAATCAACGATGAATATCCAAATGTGTGATCTTGGTGGAGGCTTTATTGCCGAATCACCAGACGGATCAGACAACACAGTTTTTTCCACTTCAGTCCCTGTATGTAGCAACCGAAGTCTCTGGAACTTGTCAAAGTCAGCTGAATATTTAAGTCCCCATATAGATGCCAGCAATTTCTATGATTCTCCCAGAGTCGTTAATTCGAATGATACTGCTGGTGGCTTTGTGGCACAATCTTCAGGCAGATTTGAAAATTCAGTTTGGGCTACTTGGAATTGTGTCAGTAGCTCAAAGTCAGATGATCATCCTATGTCTACACAAAAGAGCAGTGGTTTTGTCCAACCCCACAAAGATACTTACCTTTTAGATTCTGACAGCTATGTTCCAGAATCATCAGATGAAGAACATGAAGATGACCCTATTCCGCTTGCAGGGAAAAGAAGGAATGCTGTACAGCGCAACACTCAGAATATTTGGCCAGGTAATCATCAAACACCCCATCAAGATTCTTTCCATGGTCCTGATGTTAGTGATGCTGATTGTGATGACACTGACGGCTCTGACTCGGATTATCTTCCTGAATCCACTGATGAAAGTGTTGATGAAAATGCATATTCTGCTTGCTCACCTCTGATTCCAGTCACTAGGGGAAGGAAACAAGTCATAAGCTCAAACAACTCTGAACATCAGAGTAACCATCTGCATGAAAAGGAATCCGATATGCTGAATGGGAATGAGGACCTCCCTGAGAGTAGCTTTAAAAATGAAGCTTCAGGCAAATGGAGAGTGGTGAACAATGTCAAAGTTGATAAGACTACATGTTCAGGTTCAACTGACCATCAAGTTTCTGTGGTCTCGAGCTCATCTTCATCTAATACATGTACATCAGACATTGAAGTACTGACCACTTCAAATGATGGTGGTGCACGTAGATGGGATAAGCCCCAGTTCTGTCCATTTTGTATGACTCCACAGAAGAAGTTGCCGCGCCATTTGGCTACTGATGTGCACAAAGACGAACCACAAGTTCAACAGTGGCTCGCCACAGAAGACCCCAAGGAACGTGCTAAGCACTTGACGCTGATGAGAAACTATGGAAACTTCCTTCATAACGCCAAAGTACTTGAAGAGGGAAAAGGTAGTCTTATCGTAGTATATAGGCCGGCATATACAGTTAGTTCTATGGACTATTTGCCGTGTACCAACTGCTTTGGCTATTTTGCGCAAAGTGACTTATGGAAACATAAATGCAGCCAGGCAGCAGATGACGAAGAACCAACTAAAAAGAAAAGAAAAACTGGACTACGAACAGCTAGTAGAATGTTGTTGCCAAGCATACCTGGGGTTAGTAAGCGTACTCATGAGATCTTGTCCAGCATGAAAAGTGATGCAATAGGAAGACTTGTGCGATCAGACCAACTGATTGGAAAGTTTGCAGAGAAACTGACCAAAAAACATGGCCATTCAAAAGATCAAGAAGGATACATCAGACAGCGGCTGCGTGAGGTGGCAAGAATGGTGTTAGAGTACCGAATATTAACCGAACATTCGCAAGCCCAGTTAGCGGATCTTATTTGTCCGGAGAAGTTTACCAAAGTCCTAGAGGCAACGAGACGAACAGCAGGATTCCAAGAAGATACAAATCTTTATACAACTCCAAGCCTGGCTCTTAAAATAGGGCATAGCCTTAAGTCTTGTGCAGAAATTCTGCGAGGAGATGCCCTGTTGTCCGGGGACAAAGCTCTTGAGAAGAATTGCAAAGCTGTAGTACAGTTGTATAACTTGAATTGGGAAGGTGAAGTTAGCCATCATGCGCTGAGAACCTTGCAAGAAGCCAGGAGAAACAACCCAAAGTTACTGCCCTTAACTGAGGATGTTGTTCAGTTATCAAAATACATCAAGAATCATGTTGCAGTGAGACATAGAGAGCTGCAGAAGGCTGTAAACAAAGATGTTCCTAAAGCTTGGACAGAATTAGCAGAACTTCTTCTGACTCAGATCATCGTTTTCAACCGGAAACGCCCTGGAGAGGTGTCAAAAATGACTTTGAGTGATTACAGCAAGTGTGCCAGTGGCACAACATGTGTTGTTGATGGGGCCTTATCAGCACTTGAGAAGGCATTGTGTAAAGCGCTCTGGAGAGTTGAGATTGTTGGAAAGCGTTTGCGTACCGTTGTAGTGCTGTTCACTGCCAAGATTAAGACAGCCCTTGACACACTGATGAACCGAAGACATGAAGCAGGAATAGATGACAGCAATGCGTACCTGTTCAGTAATCAGCGAGGACTGGGACACATAAGGGGAACTGACACTCTTAGAGAACATGCTTCAAAGTGCAAAGCTAAGAATCCTGAGTTCCTTCGTGCAACGAGACTTCGCAAACACATTGCTACAGTATCACAAGTAATGAATCTTCAGGAAAACGAGCTCGACCTGCTGGCGAGCTTCTTAGGTCATGATGTCAGAACCCATCGTGAGTTCTACCGCATGCCAGAGTCAACACTTCAAGTTGCCAAACTGTCAAAGGTCCTTCTCAAGATGGACAAAGGTGATGTGCAGGGACTAGCTGGAAAAAGACTGAAGGATGTTGAACTGGACCCTAGTGAAGGTATGATTTTTATATCACTACATGTACTAAAAAATTACAAGAGTTGATTCGATCCACTAGTAGGTATGACATTCTTCCAACTTAAGTTATATGTCAAATTTTTGCTGAGAGAAAACAGTTCCGATGGTGGAAACAAAATAAAAATTATAAATGTGTGTAAAATTAAAAAATACACATTTATTTTTATTGTAATAATTTTTTGTTAGTACATGTGTATTTGTATTCAAATCAGAAAAAATTTAAATAAATAAAAAAGAGGGCCCACACCATAGAAAGTCATACCAATTAGTTAGTACTTTGAACACCATAACATTTTTCAATTTTTCTATTAACAATGCTGTTTTATTACTAATTGAAATGTTGGCAGCTTTCAGTGTTTAGTTATTACTTTGAACACCATAACATTTTCAATTTGTTTTATACCATGCCTGCTTTAACTGAACACAAACCAAGCTGGATTGCACCTCAAACTTACCTCTAAAAATTTGTGTGTATAGATTTTAATGTTTGCATTATGTTTAAATGATTAAATTACAAAATTGGTCAGCACAAAAATGAATGAAATATAAAGGAAACACAATAAAGGAAATTGTATGGAATGTGAAGGTTATCAAGACCAAGGTACAATATATACATGTTATTATACATACATATTTAAGGTTTTTTGTTTATGTGTTTGTTTTTCTTAGAATACGATACAGATGCGATGTCAGAATCGTCAGGTGATGAGGGAGATGATGAGCCTGAGGAACCCATGAGTCTGAATGAGGAAGCAAAAGGTTTGTACATTTGAATTTAGAATAAATCGGAAAGAGTTTCTCACTAGTTGGAGCCGCCATAATGTATGACACTTTTACAGCTGCTTTGCAAAACCTGTATTTAACAAGCTGTCAAGTATGGGACACTAAATATTGAAGATAATGTATAATGCATAATGTAGTCAAGTAATGTAGTATTTGACCACACCAAAGTCATTGGTACAACCAACAAGTACCTGAGACATGGTTTGTCAGTGCAGCAAATGTCTTATGCAAACATCTTGATGGGTGAGGGTAGAGAAAGAAAAAACTTTTAAAAACTTTTTTCAACTTCATTACAGATGCAGATGGGACAAAGCTTGTTGTACAGCAGCAAACAAAGAGGCCATGGACTTGTGCTGAAAAAAAAGCAGTTGTGAAACACTTGGGCATGTTCCTGAGGATGCGGAAGGTACCCGGGAAGGGACCCATCACTGCATTGATGAATGCCGAACCCCAGCTGTTCAAGAATCGTACTTGGAGAAACGTAAAAGACTTTGTGAGGAACCAGGTCCGAAAACAAGATCCAATGAGCTTTCTGCAGATCCGGTAAAATAAGAAAAATACAAAGACTTAAAGACAGAAGGCCCTTTGTTCTAAAATTGCACAGATTTGTCAACAAGAGATTACACATTTTCTTTGCATGTAATTTTTTTTAAGCAAACAAAAGTTGTAAAAGATTTATTTATTTGTTTATTTTAACAAAAGTAGTGATCATATAGAAGTTGAAAGGAAGTTAACATCAATTTCTGACGTCTTCTTCGGACCTGGCTCCTCACATCAATTTCTGACATCTACAGAAAAAGTACAAAAGAAGAATGTTTTGACATGTAAAGCTTACATGTTCGTTAGCATTAACACGCGTACTAGTCTTTCCAATGCCATTCTGCACAATTTTGCCGCACATGCCAATCATACGCACACGCATGTCTGACTTGATTGCGCAATCATGGCTGTGATTTGTCAAATGGGTGAACGCGCAAAGTTTGATTGATAGGCCGGATCGGTCCATTATAGCGACTTGCTTGCCATTAAGTAGAAATCTGAAATTTAATTTGTTGTTGAAACTGAAGTTTAATTTCCATATGTTGTTTTCTTTTGTAAACAAAAGTAATGGTTTATATATACATGTAGAAGTTGAAAGGAAGTTAACATCAATTTCTGACATCTACAACAACAAAAAGTACGAAAGAAGAATGTTTGACACTGCGTACACAAATTTAATTTGTAGTTGATACTTAAGTTTAAATTTTCATTTTATTTATTTATTTTAACAAAAGTAGTGATCATAAAGAAGTTGAAAGGAAGTTAACTTCAATTTCTGACATCTAAAGAAAAAAAGGTACGAAAGAAGAATGTTTGACACGTAAAGCTTAGATTTTTCTTTTATTTGTTTATTCAAACAAAATGAGTAATCTTTTCGAAATTCATAGTCAATTCTTAAGAGATGACATACATTCAGGAAGAGTGTAGATTGGTCCCAATCGTCACAGTACAATTTTGTAACTGGTGGGGGGGGGGGGGGGGGGCACAGCTTGCCAAAGCACATATCTAGTAGTTCTTGTCTTGGGCATTTTGCCACATAATAACTTATCACAGAAAACTGTACATGTACTTAAGTAAAGTATTTTTGACTGTTATTTTCTAGTGTTCACTCATTACATATAATATTTGCATTGTGTAATCAATAGAACACATGGTTTATAAGAAGTGTATACTTAAGACTCGTGTACTATACAATGGACCATTCCAGCTTTCCACTAAGCTACGCCCACTGCGTACAGGTTTGTGAGGATAACACGCGTACTAGCCTTTCCAATGCCATTCTGCACAATTTTGCCGGGCGTGCCAAATATATGCAAATGCATGTCCGACTTTTGTCCAACTTTTGATTGCGCAATCATGGCTGTGATTTGTCAAATGGAGTGAAGGCGCAAAGTTTGATTGATAGGCCGGATCGGTCCATTATAGCGACTTGCTTGCCATTAAGTTGAAATCTGAAATTTAATTTGTAGTTGAAACTTAAGTTTAAATTTTCATTTTCTTCTTTTTTTTTACCAAAAGTAGTGGTTTATATATACATGTAGAAGTTGAAAGGAAGTTAACATCAATTTCTGACATCTACAACAACAAAAAGTACGAAAGAAGAATGTTTGACACTGCGTACACAAATTTAATTTGTAGTTGATACTTAAGTTTAAAGTTTCATTTTATTTATTTATTTTAACAAAAGTAGTGATCATAAAGAAGTTGAAAGGAAGTTAACTTCAATTTCTGACATCTAAAGAAAAAAAGGTACGAAAGAAGAATGTTTGACACGTAAAGCTTAGAGTTTTCTTTTATTTGTTTATTCAAACAAAATGAGTAATCTTTTAGAAATTCATAGTCAATTCTTAAGAGATGACATAATTTCAGGAAGAGTGTAGATTGGTCCCAATCGTCACAGTACAATTTTGTAACTGGTGGGGGGGGGGGGGGCACAGCTTGCCAAAGCACATATCTAGTAGTTCTTGTCTTGGGCATTTTGCCACATAATAACTTATCACAGAAAACTGTACATGTACTTAAGTAAAGTATTTTTGACTTATTTTCTAATGTTCACTCATTACATATAATATTTGCATTGTGTAATCAATAGAACACATGGTTTATAAGAAGTGTATACTTAAGACTCGTGTACTATACAATGGACCATTCCAGCTTTCCACCAAGCTACGCCCACTGCGTACAGGTTTGTGAGGATAACACGCGTACTAGCCTTTCCAATGCCATTCTGCACAATTTTGCCGCGCGTGCCAAATATACGCAAATGCATGTCCGACTTTTGTCCAACTTTTGATTGCGCAATCATGGCTGTGATTTGTCAAATGGAGTGAAGGCGCAGAGTTTGATTGATAGGCCGGATCGGTCCATTATAGCGACTTGCTTGCCATTAAGTTGAAATCTGAAATTTAATTTGTAGTTGAAACTTAAGTTTAAATTTTCATTTTATTCTTTTTTTTTTACCAAAAGTAGTGGTTTATATATACATGTAGAAGTTGAAAGGAAGTTAACATCAATTTCTGACATCTACAACAACAAAAAGTACGAAAGAAGAATGTTTGACACTGCGTACACAAATTTAATTTGTAGTTGATACTTAAGTTTAAATTTTCATTTTATTTATTTATTTTAACAAAAGTAGTGATCATAAAGAAGTTGAAAGGAAGTTAACTTCAATTTCTGACATCTAAAGAAAAAAAAAGTACGAAAGAAGAATGTTTGACACGTAAAGCTTAGAGTTTTCTTGTATTTGTTTATTCAAACAAAATGATTAATCTTTTCGAAATTCATAGTCAATTTTTAAGAGATGACATACATTCAGATAGAGTGTAGATTGGTCCCAATCGTCACAGTACAATTTTGTAACTGGTGGGGGGGGGGGGGGGGGGCACGGCACAGCTTGCCAAAGCACATATCTAGTAGTTCTTGTCTTGGGCATTTTGCCACATAATAACTTATCACAGAAAACTGTACATGTACTTAAGTAAAGTATTTTTCTACTGTTATTTAAACATTATTAAACATATATTATTTAACAGCGTACATGTACATAAAACTTTAAATCCAACACTTTATATATTTAATAATATATATTGTTTACTCTCCAAACAGATTAAAATATATAAAACGAGCATTATAACTCTGTGTAAATTATGATAGAAATCTTTATATATTGCTTTATGGTTCAGCACTGCGTTCAGGTGATACCGCATCCATGTTGGACATGGCTACGGCTTGTAAGTACAGGTGTCCATGGAAGCGGCTACAGCCACTTCACATAGACAAGTGTGTTACACCCAGCCATAGACAAGCCACAGAAAACTGTACATGTACTTAAGTAAAGTATTTTTGACTGTTATTTTCTAATGTTCACTCATTACATATAATATTTGCATTGTGTAATCAATAGAACACATGGTTTATAAGAAGTGTATACTTAAGACTTGTGTACTATACAATGGACCATTCCAGCTTTCCACTAAGCTACGCCCACTGCGTACAGGTTTGTGAGGATAACACGCGTACTAGCCTTTCCAATGCCATTCTGCACAATTTTGCCGCGCGTGCCAAATATACGCACATGCATGTCCAACTTTTCATTGCGCAATCATGGCTGTGATTTGTCAAATGGAGTGAACGCGCAAAGTTTGATTGATAGGCCGGATCGGTCCATTATAGCGACTTGCTTGCCATTAAGTTGAAATCTGAAATTTAATTTGTAGTTGGTGGGGGGGGGCACAGCTTGCCAAAGCACATATCTAGTAGTTCTTGTCTTGGGCATTTTGCCACATAATAACTTATCACAGAAAACTACTTCTAATAAGTAAAGTATTTTTGACTTATTTTCTAGTGTTCACTCATTACCTATAATATTTGCATTGTGTAATCAATAGAACACATGGTTTATAAGAAGTGTATACTTAAGACTCGTGCACTATACAATTATAGCAATTTGCTTGTCATTTAGTTAAAATCTGAAATTTAATTTCTCGTTGAAATTAAAATTTTAATTTCCATTTCATTTATTCACTTTAACAATATCAGTGATCATATACATGTAGAAGTTGAAAGGAATTTTTTTTTCAATTTCTGAGGCCTACAGAGTTTCCAGTTTTATAATAAAGCTCAATTGTTCCTTTGAGTTGTTTATTCAAACAAGTTATATAATCTTATAGAGGTTGATAGGCAGTTCGCAAGAGATGAAATACATTCAGAAAGTGTAGATTGGTCCCAATTTTCACAGTTCATGTTTGCAACTGGTGGGGGGGGTTTCAAATAGTTTGAGGAAAAAAACCCACATACAGTAGGTCTTGTCTTGGTCATTTTGCCACCTTATGACTGAACACAGATAACCGTATCACTAATATTGTTGACTTAACTTAAGTAAAGTATTTTCATCTATTATTTTTCTAGTGTACACTTATTGCATAGAATACATGTAATGATAATCGTTATGCGCACATGATAGAACAACTCCCGGAACAGTAAAATAAATAGTTTTGGCAGAGGTGAACACAAATACAAACTGCAAATGTGGTATTTGAAATTGTTATGTCCTCTTACATACATTTAAAAAAAATCAACACTTCACAAGAGATTAGAATGTACAAGACTTGTGTATGGCAAGTTTTTCAAAGCCCAGAGAGTGCTCATTGTGACCCCTAGAACAGAAGACTAGAGTTGGAACTCTGTATTTTTGTCGTTGGTTTTTAATAATTATCTTGTTCCAAGTTGGCATCTATCTTTGATAATTAACATTGTTTGCAGAAATAAATGTTTCAGTTAATTTGTTGAGTTCAATCTATATATGTGACTTTGTATATACTTTTTCTCTTTTCTTTTCCGTTTCTTTTATGGCTGTGAATGACCTTAGAAAACACCAACAAATGACATTTGGAAAATTTCAAATCTTAATTACAAATCTTATTTACATCTTGTATACCTTATACTAGATGTCTCCTGTAATGGACATGCAAGCGTGGGGCTATTAATTGATTATACCACCGTGGACGTCTTGTGTTCGTTATACTCCTGTCTGTTCCTTGCTCTATGCTGTAATGGACATGCAAGCGTGGACTTATTAATCGACTATACCACCGTGGACGTCTTGTGTTCGTTATACTCCTGTCTGTTCCGTGCTCTATGCTGTAATGGACATGCAAGCGTGGACTTATTAATCGACTATACCACCGTGGACGTCTTGTGTTCGTTATACTCATGTAATGGACATGCAAGCGTGGACCTACTATTAATCGACTATACCACCGTGGACGTCTTGTGTTAGTTATACTCATGTAATGGACATGCAAGCGTGGACCTACTATTAATCGACTATATCACTGTGGACGTCTTGTGTTCGTTATACTCATGTAATGGACATGCAAGCGTGGACTTATTCAATTCAATTCAATAAGACATTTATTCCATACTCTTTTTGGAAAACGCATTGATAATTTAAGAAAATCTGTACACAGGAAAATAACAAAGTAACTATACATGTATTATATTAAATAATAAACCAAAAAAGTGAACGCTTGGAACTAATAATCAAATTAAAGAAAAGGATATATGTACAAGAGAAAAGAACGAGCATGGGGCTGTTAATAAGCCGAGGCTTGTAATAAACAGCCCATTCAGACAACAACAGCAACAACATCAACAGCTACAAAACGAAACAAGGACGGGACAGACTACACAAAAAAAGACAGGAGAAGAGCTGAAGGCAAAATAATAAAAAGAAAGAATTTAATAACTGATGACGAATAAAAACGTAAATAAATAAGGAGAGGACTAAAGCTATGTTACATAATGGGAGAGGAGGACTCTTTTGTAAGAAGTCTTAAATCGACCCACAGACGACTTCGTTCTTAGTGAACAGGGATGGCATTCCATCAACGGTGACAGTAAAACCGAAGGGTGTTAATAATCGACTATACCACCGTGGACGTCTTGTGTTCGCTATACTCATGTAATGGACATGCAAGCGTGGACTTATTCAATTCAATTCAATTCAATAAGACATTTATTCCATACTCTTTTTGGAAAACGAATCGATAATTAAAGAAAATGTGTACACAGGAAAATAACAAAGTAACTATACATGTATTATACTAAATAATAAACAAAAAAGTGAACGCTTGGAACTAATAATCAAATGAAAGAAAAGGATATATGTACAAGAGAAAAGAAAGAGCATGGGGCTGTTAATAAGCCGAGGCTTGTAATAAACAGCCCATTCAGACAACAACATCAACAGCTACAAAACGAAACAAGGACGGGACAGACTACACCAAAAAAAGACAGGAGAAGAGCTGAAGGCAAAATAATAAAAAGAAAGAATTTAATAACTGATGACGAATAAAAACGTAAATAAATAAGGAGAGGACTAAAGCTATGTTACATAATGGGAGAGGAGGACTCTTTTGTAAGAAGTCTTAAATCGACCCACAGACGACTTCGTTCTTACGTCAACAGGGATGGCATTCCATCAACGGGGACCGTAAAACCGAAGGGTGTTAATAATCGACTATACCACCGTGGACGTCTTGTGTTCGTTATACTCATGTGAGTAATGGACATGCAAGCGTGGACCTATTAATCGACAATACCACCGTGGACGTCTTGTGTTCATTATACTCCTGTAATGGACATGCAAGCGTGGACCTATTAATTGACTATACCAGCGTGGACGTCTTGTGTACGTCCACGGTTTGAATGTGAAAACTTCGTGAAGCCAGAAAGCT